GGCCACGCGGGGCCTCCCCGCCAGGGTTCGCGGAGAACTCCAGAAACAAAACATTAAAAAAGAGGGGGAAAAAAAGGAAAAATCGATGCACCAGCTCATAAACAGCAGCAGAGCGGGAACACCTGGGGATTTGCAGGCAGAGGCACAAGCCGAGCAGCCGAGCACGTTCCTAAGGAAACATCCTGCTTCCCGCTCCAGAGCTGGAAACTAACCCAGGAATTAAGCAGAGACCGGTTTTTTGGCCTCTATTTTGCATCCTCAAAGGTGACCCCTGCGAGGCCAGCACGAGGCCCCAGGGCCGTCCCCAGCAGAGCAGCCCCCAGACCCATCCTGGCCCCGAACACGGGCGAGGGGCCAACTGGGGGCCGGGACCATCGCGGCTCTCCCGCTGCTCCCTCACCCCAATGACACGGCTCATAATTACCTCCTTTGCACTTAATGTGGATGTCAAGAGAAATTCCACTCATTTGCTTTTTAATTAACATGGGCTTAAAGAAAAGCCTGGGGCTGCGGGGGCGGGGGAAGGTGCATCTGCACCCACTACAGAGAGGACAAAACGTGGTCCCTTGTCCTTGCTGGGGACAAGGGCCTCCCTGGAGGGAGCGGGTGGCAAATGGAGCCTCCAAGAGCAGCAGCTCCATGACCTCCGCATCCTGTGGGATACAGCCCCTTCCACCACCCCAGCAGCAGCCCCCCATGCTGCCTCAGTTGTTATTAAGGTGCCTGTCAAATCTGCTCCCAGTGGCTCTTGTCCCTTATACGAGCACATTAATTAAGGCCAAAGAAGCTGCTGGAGGCGGCCGGGCTCTGGGCAGGGGGTCATGGGGCCGGCCCGGGGCAGCTCCCCCTGCTCAGCGCCTGCTCTCCAAGCCCTGAGGCTCTGGTGCCCAGCACAGGCTGCCTGGAGCCCGGAGCTCCCGGCGCGGAGGAGGGAATTCTGCACAGGCAGCCCCAGACACCTGTGCCCGAGTTACCCAGCTGGGCTCCCTGCAAGGAGAAACGCAGCCCCTGGCACAAGGCACCTTCCCTTCCTCATGGGGCCTGCAGGAAAGCCGGGCCAGGGAACAGTCTGTGTACTCGTGTCCAGCCACAGAGCAGGGGAGGAGGAGGAGGAAGAGGAAGATGAGGAGGAGGAGAAGGAGACCTGCCCCGAGCTCTGCTGCAGATCGGAGCAGGCACAGCCCGGCCGCGCTCCTCCCTGCGCCCACGCGCTGCTGGCACCAGCGAGTCACCAAGCAGCAAGACCCCCAAAGAGAAAACGCTGACAGAATTGCTAGAAAGGGCATGCGCGGAGCCCCCAGGAGAGGAGCCTTCACGGCAGGTTGGCAAGAAACCATCAAGAGTGGGAGAATAAATATATTGGACCCAGAAAACCTGATTTCCAGCCAACAGGATGCTAGGGAGGAAGAGAGTTTACGCAGAAAGGGCACCCGGGCTCTGGCCGCTGCGTTTCTACTAGAGGAGGTCTCATGCCCTGCAAAGCGATTTTCCCTTCCCTGGGTTATAAACCAATTAGATAAAGACCACGTTAATCCCTTATTGTGTTCACACCGCCCCAAGCAGACACCAAACACAGGGATTAGGCAGTTTGTTTAACCAGCTCCCTGACCCACAGCCCCACATGCTGCACATGGAGTGCACGGAGCACACTGAGCCAGGACCGCTGCGATGTCACCCACGTGCAACCCTGTCCCATGTGCTGTCCCCTCCATCCAAAGCCCCTTCCAAGGACTCTGCCCAGCTCTCCTCTTCCACACAAAAGCGCTGCCCCCAGACACAACAGCAACCAAAGCCCGGGCACAAACACGAAGCCGCAGAAGCATCAGGAGAGCGGGAAAGCGGGGCACCCCTCTTGCCCAAGGGGCCTGTTTCCTAAGGGAGCAGCCACCCCAGCTGAGTCCCATTCCAGAGGGTCCCTCCTCATGGGTCTGGGCACAGCTGATTCCCACGAGGCCCTCCAGCCTCCCAGGATAAATGTGCAAGGGCAGGGATACAGCAGAGAGGCCTTGGGTGTCTCCAGGGTTTGCAGCATGGGCTGGGTGCTCCTGCAGCAGCAACGCTCAGGAACAGGCCCAGGAAAGCAGCTTCGAAACATTTCTTTCTCTGGGGTTCTGCCAAGGGGGTTTAGGAAGCGGCAGCCGGTCCCTGGCACTCGGTCTGCGCCTGTAGCTACAGGGAGCCTCGGAGAGCCCTGGCCCTGCAGATAAGCAAGGGAGCCGCTCCGCATGGAGCGGGAAGGAGGAAGGGATGAACTGCTGGGCAGCAGCTGGATCAACTCCTTCCAGGAAGGACTCAGCAGTCCAACTGCTCTGCGTTGACTCTAAACCCCCAGCTAAGGGGGGCTGCGGGATGAGCCCTGGCCCGGGGGATGCGGAGCCGGAGGGTATCCGCACCGCAGGGCAGCGGCAGGGCGGGGGGGC